ATGCCCACTCTCCGCACGGTTATTCAACATAGTCCTGGAGGTCCTAGCCATGGCAATTAGACAAAACAAAGAAATACAAGGCATCCAGATTGGTAAAGAAGAAGCCAAACTGTCACTATTTGCAGATGACATTTGGTAAAGAAGAAGCCAAACTGTCACTATTTGCAGATGACATGATATTGTACATGAAAAAATGTTAAAGACTCCACTCCAAAACTACTAGAACTAATATCTGAACTCAGCAAAGTTGCGGGTTACAAAATTAGTACATAGAAATCTGTTGCTTTCCTATACACTAACAATGAACTAGCAGAGAAGAGAAATCAGGAAAACAATTCCATTCACAATTGCAACAAAAAGAATAAAATACCTAGGAATAAACCTAACCAAGGAAGTGAGAGACCTATACCCTGAAAACCACAAGACACTCTTAAGAGAAATTAAAGAAGACATTAAGAAATGGAAACTCATCCCATGCTCTTGGCTAGAAAGAATTAATACTGTCAAAATGGCTATTCTGCCTAAAGCAATCTACAGATTCAATGTAAGGCCTATCAAACTACCAACAGCATTCTTCAACGAACTGGAACAATTAGTTCAAAAATTCATATGGAACCACAAAGGACCCCAAATAGCCAAAGCAATCCTAAGACCTAAGAAGGAAGAATAAAGCAGGGGGGATCTCACTTGCCAATTTAAAGCTCTACTACAAAGCCACAGTAATCAAGACAATTTGGTAGTGGCACAAGAACAGAGCCATAGACACGTGGCACAGAATAGAGAGTCCAGATATTAACCCAAACATATATGGTCAATTAATATATGATAAAGGAGCCATGGACATACAATGGGGAAATGTATGTCCTCTTCAACAGCTGGTGTTGGCAAAACTGAACAGCTACATGTATGAGAATGAAACTGGATCACTGTCTAACCCCATACATAAAAGTAAATTTTTAATGGATTAAAGACCTGAATGGAAGTTATGAAACCATAAAACTCTTAGAAAAAAACATAGGCAAAAATCTCCTGGACATAAATATGAGGGACTTCTTCATGAACATATCTTCCCGGGCAAGGGAAACAAAAGCAAAAATGAAGAAGTGGGACTACATCAAACTGAAAAGCTTCCACGCAGCAAAGGACACCACCAGTAGAACAAAAAGACATCCTACCGTATGGGAAAATATATTCATAAATGACAGATCCAATAAAGGGTTGACATCCAAAATATATAAAGAGCTCATGTACCTCAACAAACAAAAAGCAAATAATCCAATCAAAAAATGTTTAGAGTACCTGAACAGACAGTTCTCCAAAGAAGAAATTCACATGGCCAACAGGCACATGAAAAGATGCTCCACATCACTAGTGATCAGAGAAATGCAAATTAAAACCACAATGTGATATCACCTCACACCAGTAAGGATAGCCACCATTCAAAAGACAAACAACAAGAAATGTTGGTGAGGATGTGGAGAAAGAGGAACCCTCCTACACTGCTGGTGGGAATGTAAATTAGTTCAACCATTGTGGAAAGCAATGTGGAGGTTCCTAAAAAACTAAAAATAGAAATACTTTTTGACCCAGGAATTCCACTCCTAGGAATATGCCCAACAAATACAAGTTCCCAGATTCAAAAAGGCATATGCACCCCTATGTTTATTGCAGCATTATTTACAATAGCCAAGATATGGAAGCAACCTAAGTGCCCATCAGTAGATGAATAGATAAAGAAGAGGTGGTACATACACACAATGGAATACTATTCAGCCATAAGAAAGAAACAAATCCTACCATTTGCTACAACATGGATGGAGCTAGAGGTTATTATGCTCAGTGAAGTAAGCCAGGCAGAGAAAGACAAGTAGTAAATGATTTTCCTCATTTTGAGGTATAACAACGAAGCAAAACTGAAGGAACAAAACAGCATCAGGTTCACAGACTCTGAGAAGTGACTAGTGGTTACCAAAGGCGAGGGGTGTGGGAGGGTGGGTTGGGAGGGGTGGAGAAGAGGATTAAGAGGTATTATAATTTTCACACATGGTGTGTGGGGGTCACATGGAAGACAGTGTAGCACAGAGAAGACAAGTAGTGACTCTGTGGCATCTTACTACACTGATGGACATTGACTGCAATGGGGTATGGGGAAGAACTTGATAATATGGGTGAATGTAGTAACCACATTGCTTTTCATGTGAAATATTCATAAGAGTGCATATCAGTAATACCTTACTAAAAAACTGTAGTAAAATAAGACATGAACAGACACTTAACCAAAATTTTATACACATGGCATATAAGCACATGAAAAAAATGCTCAACATCATTAGTTATTAGGGAAATGCAAATTAGAACAATGAAATACCACTACACACCTATTAGAATGGCTAAAATAAAAAAAATATTGATAATACCAAGTGCTGGCAACCATGTGGAGCAATTGGAACTCATATATTAGAAGTGAGAATGCAAATAGGTATAGCATCTTTAGAAAAGAGTTTGGTAGTGTTATAAAATTTCAGAACACTTACTATGCAACCCTGGTAAACCCACAGATGTAAACAACCTAGTAAATAATCCAGATGTCCTGGAATGTACCTATGATGGGTGGTATTAGTAAGTAATAAAAATCAACTAGTGATACATGCAACAAAATGGATGAATATTAAAGACATTATGTCAAGTGAACAAAGCTACACAACAAATGATTACTACTGCATGATTCCATTTATACGATGTTGTCAGAAAAGTAAAATTACAGTAACAGAGAGCAAATCAGTGTTCACCAAGGGTGAGTGGTGGGAGCATAGACTGACTACAAAGACAGAAAGAGATAACTTGAAGTGATCAAAATGTTCTATATGTCGATCATGTTGGTAGTTACATATACAATTATATATATATTTGTTAAAGCTCATTGAGTTATAAACTTATAATTGGTGAATCTTATTGTAAGTAAATTTTACCTAAACAAATCTGATAAGAAATGAAATCCCAGAACAGAATAATATAAGGGTAAACTAATTTTTTAAATAAAAAGCTAAGAAATACAGAGAAAAGGATAATATACCATGACTGGTAGGATTTATCTCAGTAATACAATGTTCATTTAACATATAAAAATCATCCAAACCACATTTGCAGATTATGGGTAGAAGCATATGATCATTTCAATAGATCAGTGTGGTTCTTTTTGTTCCTCAGGAGACATCTTACAATGGCTGGAGACATTTTTGGTTGCTACAAATATTGTGGGTATGCTACTGGAATAGAGACCAGGAATGCTATTAAACACCCTATAAAGCACAAGGCAGGCTCCAATTGAGAAGCACTATTCTGTTTTACCTTCTGCACTCATCACTATGATACCTACCCATATTGCTATACAGTACATTCATCTATTCTGTTCTTTCTTGCTACACACTACCCCACAGTAAGCATCCCCCATATGATTCTTATCCATCCCCTAATGATAAACATCTAAGTTGCTTCTAATTGCACTCCACCACACAACACTGCCATGAAATCAACAGCCTTGCAAATGTTCCCTCATGAACCTGTGTGGGAATTTCTCTGGGATATAAATTCAGGAATGGAACAACTAGATCATACATATGCTTAACTTTGGTAAATACCTACCCAGGTATTTTCTGGAGTGGCTGAACTAGTTTAAATACTCTGCAGAAGAGTTAACATGTCAGAACTGAGACTGCTATCCTTAGAAGTCTGATTGAAAGGTTGGCCCTTGACTGGCATCTTGGAACTTGGCTCTCAAGAGGGTTCTCACTATTCCCTAACAAGAGTGACTCACTGTGCCTAAACTGTTTTTATAAACAGTATGATTTATGTTGAACATCTGCTCTTTTTCTGGGAGTCTGGATTTTAGTACATGCTAGGCAGAGGGTGTCTATGTGACCAGCCCCCCATAAAAATCTGGGGCAATGAGTCCCTAATGAGTTTTTCTGGTAGACAACATTTCAGATGTGTTGTCACCTGTGTGACCCCTCTTGGAGAGAACTCTTGGAAGCTTTCACCTAGTTTCTTTCAGACTTTGACCCATGTGTCTTTTCCTTCTGCTGATTTTGTTTTGTATTTTTAGCTGTAATAAATCATACTGTGAGTATGACTACATCCTGAGTCCTATGAGTCCTTCTAGCAAATCACCAATCATAGAGGTGGTCTTAGGGATATCTCCCCAGCACACATTCCCATAGGCAAAGCAGGAGAATTTGCAAGAAGACTTACTTTTAGCTGCACGTTTTATGAGTCATTTGAATTTTGTATCATGTGCACATATTACCTCTTTAAAAATAAATACTTCATGAAAAGGGGGAAAAGAAGTTGTCAAAACAAATAGGTTGCCTGCAAATGACACCTAAAAGATATTAAAAAACCACAGAGGTATACAATGAAAGCTTCTCATATTCCATATGAGGAAGGCCAAAGAAGGTGAGGGACTTACCTAAAGTTACCCAGTCATTTACAGACAGGACTGAAATCCTCACTTTCCTGTTTCCTAACACTCCTTCCTCTAAGTCACATGGCCCCTTTCCCTACACTTGTCATTTCCCCCACCCTAGTGCTCTCCCATAAATACCTTGCAGCAGCCTACTTTCATGCTGACCATGGATTCTCCTATTTCTCAGATTCCTAGTTTTTCATGCAGTGAGAATGTTCAAGATTCCCTCCCAAAACACTGAGTTTCATGGAAACTGAACCCAACAGAAACAAAAAGAGAAGCTGATGAAAAATCCTACTGGTAACTGCCCAGAAGGAGAGAGAAAAGGAAAGGGAACAGTAAAGAAAATGAGTCTTAGACCAAATTACAGTACATTCCTAAGTCCCCATGCCCTGGCAAGGGGGTCAACATCAGGGTCAGGGAGGAATCCAGCTCCTGTCAGAAGACAAAGCAGCTGTGCAGGACCAGATAATACAGATAATCCTTCCATTGTTTCCTAACCTCTCTCAAAACCTTCCCCAAAGGGGAAAATGCTTACGTGCTCCAGGAAGCAGGGTCCTATCTCGCTGAGGTGGGGGTCATCATTATTGTACTGTTTTTCCAAGTCTCTCACGAAGCCCATCTGAAACCTGTAGATGTCTTCAATGTTTCCAAAGATTACCTTCATTTGCTCATCACTGAACATATCCCTTCTCTTCCGGCATTGCTTCAGGTAGCCCTGCAAACAAAGGAAAAGCTTAAAGTAAGGATGCCTCTGCTCTTCCTCAAGAGCTTTATCACTTCCTAAGCGTTTGGGGACCTCATTTCAGTTCCATGAACTAGACAGAGAATAATCATTGCCATTCTACATATGAGGAAACTGAAGTTTAGAAAAGGAATTCACTCTACCTGTGAGTAATTAGGAAAGCTGGATCTCAAGCAAAGGTCTTCACAGTGCAAAGACTCTAGAGTATGGAGCTTTGCTCACCATTCCCTATGACATGAACCCCAAAAGTCATAGGGTCCTTTCTCAGAAGCTGGTTAAGCACAAACATTTTTACTCATGTTAGTAGTTACTGATTTAGCTAGATCCATTCACATCTCTGAAGTTTTACTTCTTACAGGAGCAATCTAAAAGGCTTTAATAACTTTGTAAACAATTTGGCAATAGGCCCAGGCAGGAAAACTTTCCCAAAGGGAAGAGGAACTGGCAAATCCAAATGATTCCTCACAGCGAATGTCTTAGCCATCTCAGGAAGCTGGCCAGGGGAGATCAATTTGGATGAGCTCAGCCAACAGATTCAGAAGTACCCAGGTATGGTCTTTTTAAAATGTTAAGGACATATTTGTGAATTAATACACTTGGCCAAAAGATGAAAGGGAAGAATCAATGAAAGAGCAATTGGTCTGTTAAGAGAGCACCAAGAGAATAACAAGACCCAGGGCACACCACAAGTCAGAACAAAAGAAGCCATGGTCTTCCATTCTGAACCTACTGGTGTAGATTTTTAGGAGTGGTTACTATCTTTATTAGAAATCATTAGTATGTGAAAATGTCTTTGGTGACAATAAATTATTGTTACTTGCTTTCATCTAAAAGCTTTATGTGATTTTCCTAACACCTTTCTTAAGTGTTTAGCCTCTAATAAGAAGTACTGTAGTGATCGACTTAAAACTTCTGTCCCTGTCCGACCTCCACTTTGTCTTCCCTAACACAGCTTCCAATGAGGTCAATCTAGGCATACTTAAGGAAGATCCTCAACCCTGGCTTCAATACCCTTTATCAACTCCTACCAAAATCCCACATCCCTTATCTCTTCTCACCATCCAATTGAGCCATTAATTAGTATCTTTCAACAGTTTGCAAATTAATAGTCTATGCTTGTGTTGACATTTAATTCATGGCAGTTGCCTTCATTGACTTACACACTCAGGATGTCCTGCACCCATTAATATCCAATTCCTGACCAGGAAGAAGACTCTATTCCCAGAATACCCTTTTGACTCCACTCCCTTTTCTGAAATAACTCACAAATTCTGCCTCCTCAGAAGCTTTCCTTGACTAACAGGGAGAGTGGCAATAAACTCCTCTAGGCTCCTCCCTATCTAATACGTAATTCCCAGGGTTTGCTTGCCTCTGTCTTTCTCCCCTCTCTTCCTCTCTCTCTTCCTTACCCTATCACCTTTGGAAGTGTCTTAGCTACAGTAGAATGTGGAAAGCAGTGAGCGTATCATCTGGCAGGAACTTTTCCATCTTGACATTGGGCAAGGGGGCACAGACTTCCTCACCCTTCTCCCAATTTTTCTTCCTAAGGTAGGCCTATGAGCATAGCTGTAAAAAAAATGGTAACATTGTCATATCAGCATGTCACTTCTGGATAAGTAGTAGGTATTTGTGAGTGACCATACTGGGAGACAGAAGAAGCCAGCCTGGACAGTTCTATTAATCCCCTGAGAAGCCAGTTTAGAAATACTTGATAGATTTGTTCACTGTTTCCATTTGAAAGGTCTCAGGGAAGAAACAAATTACCATCAAATCCCCAAAGTACAGCAAGGATGCTAGATTTCAACATCAGTATGGGATATAACAGAAATGAAAAAGAAGAAAAAAGTGGGCTCTGGAAAATAAAGAATAAATAGAGATGCCAGTGCAGCTTTCCAATTCCACAAATTTGTTATTTGGCACTGCCAAGGACACCATTTTCTTTCAATTATATTACGTGTGTTATAGCAAGGGAGCATTAAGATATACAGTATGAAAAATGTAACTTCCCATAGGACAGTGGTACCCTAGAGTGTTTTGTCAACTGTTTTTATTTAAACCTAATGCTAGATTATAAATATATTGTGGTACATTTAGCTTGGTGAAATATTACATAGCCATTAAAAATGATTATTAGGAAGACTATCTAGAAACAAGGAGAAGTGTTTATGATATAATATTAAAAAGCAGAACACAAAATGGTATGTTACTATGAAAACTACACTGTAAATACATATACATATGGATAGATTTGAAGGAATTATACAAAAGTGTGAACAGTTCTATTTGGTGGATTCCAGTTGATTTTGTTCCTATTTTCAAACTTCCTTTAATGCTGTTTCAGATTGACTTTATGATTAAAAAAAGGGAAAAAACATCCTTGCCAGAAGACTGTAAAGAAAATATAGCCTTAAGAAGACCGTCTTGAGTACAATATAACCAGTGAAAGTTAGAGAACCCAGTGCACTCTCAAAATCCCTGGCCCTAGTGGTTAAGACTTGCTGAAAGGATTAAAAATAGAAACTGTCTTTATCAAGGATGTAAGAGATGGGATATAAGAATATTAGAGTAGTCTGAGAATGCCATAATGTCACCCTAGCCCCTATGCCACACAACTGTATGGGCTTCTGAGGGGAGAAAGATCAGGACAGATGACTAGTTCCGTGGAGTCTTGCTTTTATTTTTCATCCCCTTCCTTTTGCTGACCTGGTAACTATATCAAAATTTACACAGCAACAATGAATGGAGGTTTGGCTAAGGGGTCAGTTAATATTTGTTTCTTCTCATTCACTCATTTCTGAGCGTATATAAGCTTAAGATAAGCTGGCAGTGGAATGTGACGACCATAAAACCTAATGCTATTTTAAGTTAGAGAAAAGGAAGAAACAGATTGCAAGGGTGGAAAGTGAGAAGTAATAGGAAGGTAGTCAGTCACACCACTACAGGAGAGCATCATTCAAGTCTGAGCCTTGTTTTCAGAGTAATATGGAGAAAAGGATACAGAGCCAGAGGGGAGTAAGCAGAGTAGAGGGCCTGTAAAGCAACAGCATGAAGAATGGTGGAAGGCACCAGGGCTGTCTGTTCTGGAGAAGAGAAGATTCAGGGGACTTCTGAGGGCCTTTTATAGGGCAGAGGGAGCAGAAGGGGTCTGTGGTTCTTAGTACCAAGTATGCTTTGAATACTCTCTAGTCCCATATGAATGGTAAGAGAAGACAGGGTAATATGGGAGTAGGTGCAAACTGATTGAACAGGGGCAGTTTCTGAGAGCCTAGGAGTAAAGTGGGCATGGGAGGAAGGCAGGACAATAGTAATTAAGAGTACTGTGGGAATTATCAAATTAATTACAGTCAGCATGAATTATCCCTGAAAAAAGCCATGAAAAAAGATTCAGCCATAAAAAAAATGATTTACAGGGCTCCTTTCAGCTCTGACATTCTAGAGGTCTGGTGGGAGGCCTGATAAACATCTTGAAGTTAATTTTAAGAAAATTAAGGAATGATGACCATGGTTGTCCTGCTCACAGCTGTACCCAGTTTAACACAGAACCTAGCATATAGTTGCTGCTCAATAATGTATGTTGAATAAATGTAAAATGACTAGCTCTTCTCATGTTAATGATAACAAAAGGTAAGTTAGAAACAGAATGCTTAAATTAATGTTTTTGTCTTTTCTTCTTTCCCTTTTTGGACCAGGAAACCATTTCTTCAAATGAAACAAAACCATTAAAAAACAAAAGGATGACAGGAAAAAGACACAACATGGAAAACTGAAAGAATTAGTATCTGGCATATATAAGGGTCTCCTATAAATCAGCAGGAGAAATATGAGAAACTACAGGAAAATTGGCAAAAGATGAGAACAGAGTCTGGAATATCCAGGTGGTATAGATAGGTAGGACCTAGGGCAGCCAGAAACCCATGAGCTGGTGACATTATGCAGATGAGCTGCTTCATCCCTTTACCTTAGTATGCTGTACAAATACTACTGCTTTATACAATGTGTTGTCATTTTCTATGTGTACACCAAGATGTAAAATTGGGAAGTATCACAATAGGCAATTTACAGAAAAAGAAAACCCAAATGACTAGTAAGTTTGAAAACCCCAGACTTAAACATACCAATGGAAATTACTTGAAGCAACAGCATAATAAACTCAACTAGACCTAAGGAAGAATTTCTTAGTGGTGAAGGGTATGAGACACTAATGCAAATGACCAAGGAAAGCTGGTACAGCTTCTCTGGAGGCATTTGAGGACAGAATTTATTTCACAGATATGGGATGCCTGAGAGAGGCAGATGAGGCAACTTTGTAAGGCATCTTCAGTTTTGTTTACCCTGTGCTTCAATATCCTGATTATGAGTTCTAAGGTTATAAGAGGCAATACCACCAATCATTGGTCAAAGTAACATAGAACTAAGCCAAGGCTCTCTTTATCCCAAAGTATTTAGAAAGAAGAATGTCATCTTTTGCAGAGAACTCATTAAAAAAGATTTTTTCTCTTACTGGCATCACTGAATGACTTTGATAAAGTCACTTTATTTCCTGCTTCCTCATTTATAAAATGAGGGTATTTTATTTTAAATGTCTGTAAAGCACTTTTTGCTCCTAGAGGTAAAAAAATATATTCTATAACAGACAGGGACTTTTTTTCTATACTGAATGCAGTGTCCCCCATTTCACTTTCAATAGCACAAGAGTGGGAAGTGTTTAGAGATCTCCCTTATCCTGCAGAAAGAGTAGATTATGCTATGTTAACAAATCCATGCCTGCGTAAGGTGTGCCTCCATGGGTACCAAAGAAGAATGGCAGAAAATACAGAAGTAACCTATATCTTTACCATAGCGTTCTCTAGTGAGTGCATAGAATTGGAGAAAGTAAAATCCAAACAGCACTTACTTAAAGAGCAATCCTTCCAATCCACTCATTTTAGAACTGGGGAACAAGGCTTAGGTTGGAAAAGATTCATCTGAGGTTCCTCAGCCAAGCAGTGACCAAGGTGGGACCTGAACCTGAGACTACCCATTCTGAGTCTGGCATTGCTCCTCATAGCTTTTGGTTTGGAAGTGATACAATCTTGGGCTAAAAACTGTCTTCTGTTCCAGCTAAAACAGAGTTTTCTCCACACTTCTTTTGCTCTAGCTAACCCTTCCTTTGACACTTGTGGTAGCAGTTGGGACAGAGATATTTCCCATTTAATTTCTTAATTCAGCACCAAAAATAATTAAGAAATATGGAACAAACAGATCACCAACAAAAGCTTTGCCTTGGGTGGATGGATTGTACAAGTCCTCAAAGCAGGGACATAGCACTCCTCCTCTGGAAAGACAAACACTTCCGTTGTTGACCTGAGCTTGTGCCCTGTAGGAGGAGGCAAAGATGTTTTGGAGTTGGGAACAGGAGATCCTTCTAAGGCTAAAGGACTCCCACTTGGCCAGTGCTTGAGAACTCTGAGAAAGTAACTTTGCCTTTTAGAGGTTCAGTCTGTTGGTCTAGAAAATAGGAATAACAATAAACCTTTGTTCTGTCTGGAAACCAAATGGCATAAGATGTGAATGTACTTTGCCAAAGTAGTGCACACAGTGAGCACTTATATTTAATTCTGACTTTCAGCAAAATTTGAGCCAGGCACTGTGTTAGGTTTTAAGGATACATCAGTAAATCAATAGGTGAAAACCCCTGCCCCTCATGGAATTTATATTCTAGTAGGGGAAATAGAAAATAAACAAAACATATAAGCAAATTATATAAAATGTCAGCAATATGCACAAAAGCAGAAAAGGGGGAAAGATAATACAAGGTTACAATTTTAAATAAAAACGTCAGGGAAGGTCTCAAGGAGAAAGTGATACTTTAATAAAGACCTGAAGGAGGAAAGGAAGGGAGCTATGCAGACACCTAAGGGAGAACTGCTCTAAGCAGAGACAAAAGCCATTGAAAAAGCTGTGAGGGGGAAACATGCAAGGCATTTTTTAAGTAATAGCAAGAGGCCAGTGTGGCTGGAGTAGTCCAAGTGTGTGAGAAAGGAGAAGGAGATGAAGTCACAGAATTAAGGAGGGATAGGTCATACAGGGTTTTGTAGGTAATAATGAGAACTTTGGCTTTTACTCAGGGAGAAATGTGACCCACTGGAGGGTTTTGAGCAGAGGAGCTATATGACCCTGACTTAGGTCTTGACAGCATCCCTTGGCTGCTGGGTAATGAACAGGCTCTACTTAGTTGTATTCAGACCCTATGACATTATACGGCAGCTATCATTTTACAGCAGTGTCCCTCAAACTTTAGTATATAGTATAAGTCAAATGGGAACCTTGTTAAAATGCAGATTTGGACTCAGTTGGTCTGGAGTGGAGCTAAAGATTCTGCATTTCTAACAAGCTCCCAGGGGATTCAGATGCTGCTTGTCTATGACAAAATACTTTGAGGTTTGAAGGTAGGAGCTATGTCCAGGGTCTGTCATGGAGCAGAACTCGGCTAAATGTTTGCTGAATGAGTAACATGTCAGTGGTATGACACCCAATGCCACATAGCACACTCCAGAGGATATTTTTTTTCAATTATCAGCCATTTGTGTGGAGGTAGGAAGAAGATAAAAAGATCAAAGAAAGACATGGAGAGATGGATGAATATATGCAAAGGGAGGGGAAAGAAAGTATTTTCCAAATACTTACAATATTATGTTTATTTAATTTCCTCAATAAACGTTAAGAGGTTGGTACAATGATTGTCCACTGGACAAATCAGAATATTGAAGGTCAGAGGAATTAAGGGGCACTTTCAAGGTCACGGGGTTAATTAGTTGTTAGGATGTAAAAGCTACTACTTCATGCCCCCAGAGCCTTTGTTATTTCTACCCTACCTCATGTGAGGATAAACTGTAACCTTCCTGGGAGGAGTGAGAAAATGAGGTGAAGAAAGGGCACAGTTCTTGGCCTTGACCTTTCCACAGCTGCACTAACCAATGTGGTTGTCATTAGTTACATGTGGCTACTTAAATTAAAATTAAAAACAATTTAAAATTCCATTTCTCAGTCATACTAGCCACATTTCAAGTCCTCAATAGCCATAGATGGCTGGCTAGTGGCTACTGAATTATAAAGTACAGATATAGAACATTTTCATAACTATAAAAAGTTCTATGGGCAGCACTGCTCTAAAGAACTAAGAACTTTGAAAAATGTTAGAGCTACACTATTGACTCCAAAGTGGGACCTGGCCCCATTCAACAGGGCTGGGGGACATAGTAAGACCCCTGACATCTCATCTGGAAGGAAGGGGATAAAAATACTCAAAGCACAGTATAATGAGTCATAAAAATACATCTTTGGTCATTCATATGGCCAAATATACATTTCCAAGCTGTATGTGGTCTTCAGTCACAGTTCCTGAGAACACTGCAGAGTCTTAAAGGTGAAATGGGTGTCTTGTCATGTTAATGAGAGACTTTTGGATACCCACCTAAGGACAGGGGATGGAGGCTGAATCAACCAGTGGCCAATAATTTAGTCAATCATGACTATGCAATGAAGCCCTCACAAAAACCCCTGAGAGGAGCTTATCTCTCTTTGCTCTCTGGGATCATGCTTTTCTGTTGGAGAGGAAGCTTCTATACTTGGGGAATCAGAACACCTCCGTGTGCCACCCAGCCAGGCCCCAAGCTCCACAAGGATAGAAACTCCTTTATTTGGGACCTATGTATCTCTTCATCTGGCTGTTAACTTGTATCCTTTATGGTATCCTTTATTAAACTGGTAAACATGTTTTCCTGAGTTCTGTGAGCAGCTCTAGCAAATTAATGGAACCTAAGGGGGAGGTCGTTGGAACCTCAAATCTGTAGCCATAGGTCAGAAGCACAGGTAACAGGCTGGGGCTTGCAACCAGCATCTGGAGTTGGGGGTGGAGGGCAGTCTTGTAGGAGGGAACCCTTAACCTGGGAATCTGGTGCTGTCTCTGGGCAGATAGCATCAGAATTGAGTTGTCAGACACCCTACTAGTGTTTAAGAATTTCTTGGTGTTGTGAGTGTAGGAAGATCCCCCCCTCCCTCCCACACACACATTGGAATCCTGTCCAGGAACCCAAAGGGATTTAAGCAGCACATCATTGCAAACTGGTTCAAGAAGAATGCTATAGCATGTGCCTCTATGTGTGTGAGAGAAATCCTTTTAAAAACATCCTTTTCTCCATTTCACACTGGTTTTCCCACACTGTTTAGTAAAATGTCCTTTGAAAATGCCAGCTTGTCTCTGCTGAGCTCAAAGGAGGATAAGGAAAAGGGCTCTTATCCTCATTCACCAAGATGGAAAGGATGGAGTTAGGGAATGTGGAGCTACAGGTCTTGTAGGGCAGTGGCATACTGAAGAAGCTGAGACTGGTCCACCCAGCCTTTATCTCCTATAGATTCCTCTCCCTAAGCATTTTTTGGCCCACACCCAAAACCAGTGTTCTCCAGGTGAAGGAGGAGGACTAGCAACATCAGTATTACCAGGGATGTCTGTTAAACAAAGCGATGCATGCGCTTTACCCCAGATTGAGAATTCACAACTCGGTGGGGGTGGGGAGTAGAAGAGGGCTGGAATCTGCACGTGTAACAAATTCCACTAGGGGCTCTGGTGCACATCAAGTTTGTGAACCATTGCTTAGAGGGAGATGTGTTTTGCTTTAATGAATGAGGTCAGGCCCTTACATGGCATAGCAACAACTGGATCAAAACCCAAGAGGATAGGGTGAAGATTCAAGGGCGGGAAGGAAGGAAGTAGAGAGAGAAAGAGAGAGACAGAGAATATGGATATAAATACGAATATGAATATGGAAGTTAGACAGGCAGACAGAGAAAAGGAGAGAAACAGAGAGACTGAGAAACCCCAAGGGAAGTTTTACACATTGAACCATCTAGAAGGTCAGTACAACCATTTCTTCCAATATCTTGGGATTATCACAGATAGGGCCCAGGGGGATTGTTAGTTCCTCACAGAAGTGCCCTTTACCCCATCCAAAATGTCCCCACATGCACTATCATAGCTGAGCCTACCTCACAAATGTCCTTGAGGTGCTTGATGTAATGACGCTCAGTGCTCATGATCTCATTGATGACATTGGCTCGCATCTGGTCCCGGTTCTGTAGTGGCCTGCCCAGACAGAGGCAATCTGAGCTGGGGTCCAGATGCCCATTCTGCACATCACTGGGCCCTTCTTCCACCCCATCCTCCTGGTTCACCCAGAGCTGTGGAAACAGACAGAAGAAGAATAATGGAGCAACTTCCTTTTTTGAGGAGTTTCCAGCCATGTAGAAAATGGATAAGCTAAATTCTTCAGGTATTAACAAAGCCTTCAAACAGAGGTATCAGGTAATTACATGTCAGGCCTTGATCTAGGGTGACTTGCTGGCCCTAGGCATGAGTTTAATCCTCTCTAGGCCTCGGGTAACCTATCTATAAATTGGAGGATGGGAAAGGATGGGATTAAATCACTACCAAGAGACTTCTTGGTTAAGGTTTTAGAGTAGAGAAAAGTTATGTGAGGCAGAACGTATTCATGCTGGAGCATATCTAGGCAGCACAGCTGGACCTAAAAAAAAGTAAGAATTAAGGTATACATCTTGGTACCACAGCTGGATTACTGTCAAACACACCTATGAGCATGCAGACCAATGTTGGATACTGGAGTGGGCACCATAAAAATGGGCCTTCAGTGTTGATTTGCATCAAAGCATGTACAGATAATCATTAAAATTTGACTGTATCATTCCTTAGTTATGCAAAGATTTATACTTCCTCAAAGTTGGAATGGAGATAGCAAAATGTTCTTGTACCACATAATAGCAACAGCTGTTGCCTGAACACTTACTATATACCAGCCACTATGCTAAGAGCTTTAAATGAACTGTATTATTCAGTCCTGTTAGACAAGTTCTATTACTACTATCATTTCATAGAAGAGATGGAGACTCAGAAAAGTTAAGGAATTTGTCCCAAGTCACACAGTTAGGAAGCAAAGGAACTGGGGTAGGAACCAGGCAGTCTGACTCCAGAGCTTTTCCTCTTAGCCATTATGCTAGCAGCATTGTGCCTCTGGTGCTGAGAAAAAGAGGAAAAGAGTATGGAAGGGCTTGGGCCAAGATGAGCTGAGAATTATCAGACTCATCAGATATGGGTACTGTTGGTAGTGGTTGAGACTATCCACTCCAAATAATGAAGGCAAAGGGATGCAGAAAAAAACCTTCATTGGAAGCCCTGGTGGCATGTCTCTGGATCTGGGATGACTTAGCTTGAAACAAGGAGATGGTTCATTTCACCCCAGTGCTAGGAAGGAGGAAAATCATGGAGTTAGGGAGAAAAGGAAGGGTGGGACCTTAGGAAAAGAGGTAAAATCTTCCAGGGGCATTAGCCAAAGAAATTGTCAGTTGTCTCAACAGCTTTAATCAAGAACCATCTTTCCCCTCCAAATCTACCCCCAGCTTTTTCCACATTCCTGCCTCAAGAAACTAAGATCAAGCAATTTAAATGCATCCCTATTTCTGCCACCGGAAAAGCCTGATGTTTGGGTGGGCTTAGGAGGACAGAGACTTTGGGATGGAGCTAGAGGGACAGTAATTATATCCCAACTCTGTGAATTATCCCCTTTCTCTCTGCCTCACAGAGGGTGGGGAGTATGACTACCACCCAGTGAACTTAGAGAAATTATCAGTATATATTTTACTTAATTGCCACACACCAAAGCAAGTAGGGTTCACTTAATTTTAATATATTTTGTAAGCATAGCCAAATATGCAAAAAATGTATCTTCATCCAGAACCTATCACCCTCTGCAAATGTTCTATTGGAAATCTCTTTCTAGTTTTGAAAGTCAACTTAATGCCTAAATAGTTGCCCTTTAATACAATCAATAGGCAATGAGGGATGATTATTCAAGGAACAAATCTGTTTAAAAAAGGTGATTCTAAAGCACTAATGCAAACACATCAAATACATAATGCTGTCTATCTGTAACAATAAAAACTTCATCCTCTAATAATCCACTAACATTTCCCATATTCTCATAAAGCAAGCTAAGCCCTCCCATGGAAAGAAAACATTAGGCAGACCTTTAAGAGACAAGAACCATTTATTTTCTTCTCAGGAATTTAAGACATGTCAAGTCAAAATGTTGGCTCCTGAATAGCTGGAATGAGATAACTCTTTTTGGAATTTCCAGTGGGAAGGGGCACAAGATATTGGTGGGCTACGGGGTGTGGAGGGAAAGCCAGGGAAAGACAGAATCAGATTTAGGTTCAAGCCATACTCAAAATAAAAATGAAAGGGCAGGAAGGCAACTGCAACCAGGTGAAAACAGATTCCTTACACAGAATTTAGTGGAAGAGTCACTTGTGGCTAGAACTAAAGGCCTGGTTTTCAGGACCCTTCCTTCATAGGAAGCTTCTGAGAAGACATAACCTTTAATATACTATAATGCAACAAACCCCAGAAGCCCACTACATGGGTTAACATATGGCCTTAATCCAAAAGAACAACTGGAAGATTTATTCATTCATTAAATCTATGTTAAGTGCTTACTATGTACCAGATACTGGAGATACAGCAGCAACAAAATAAACAGAAACCTCTGCCCTCTATGGAGCTGACATTCAAGGGAAGATGTTTCATAACCTAGCAAAAAGTGTCATGTAAGACCCAATTATTGTATACCCAGGTTCAGGGCCCCACAAAACATCCCATAGGCCTGACGCTATAACTTTCTGGTCTAACTTGAAGTCCACTGCTCTTGAGAACTTCCCTGTTCTGTGTAGATGAATGTCCTTGCCTGCTTGTATGTCAAAGTACATTGACACAGGCCAGACCATGAGCTCATCTTTCTTCAGCATGTGAGCCCAGAGTACCATATCAAACCCTGCCCAATAACCTGTGCAGTCTAATGCATTACCTACCTACAAATGTTTATAATTGACACGGCATTCAGTACACATCAGCTCCTAAGTGAAAAGTAAGAAGACAGACAATGCAGAGACTGGCAAGTTGGAAGGTTTTCCTGGAAGTCCTCTCCAGGGTACTTGAAGATTATTGTCTTCAGTCTTCAGAACTCCGAGCAAGGCTGGGTTAATGCAATTCAAGTTAACAAATATCTATTTTGGAGCTATTTGGTGTCTATCCACTGTAAGAGACATAAGAGTGAGCAAGACAAGTGACTCCTCCCACTTCCCTCAGTTATAGGCAGTGCTTTCCAAATCAGAGATTTCTGGTCCTCATCTCTTCCTTTTCCATTCCCACTATCATGGCCTGCACTCCCTGGGTGATTTCCGTGGGTGACTGCACAGCTCCAATCCCTCCCATATACCACAATGAGATGAATTTTCTTGACTATCACTTTGATTGGCTACTCTCATACTACCAAATCCTCAATGGCTCCCAGTTGCCAAGTCCACATCTCTCATCCTGGCATTCAAGCATTACCATATCTGGCTTTAACCTGCATTTCCATCCTTACTTTCCATTGTGTTTTTCAGCCCTTTAGGCTTCTCCTAAACTGGTCTAATTTTCTTTCCACAAATATTCTCCACTATGGTCTTTAATCCCATGTTTGAACATAGAAATGACATAATACAGGAGCACCTACATATGTGAAACAAATGCTAACAGAATTAAAGCAGAAAATAGAAAGCAATGCATTCATTTTAGGAGACTTCAACACTATACTCACTCCAAAGGAGAGATCAACCAGACAGAAAACAAGTAAGGAGACAGAGGCACTGAACAATACATTAGAACAGATGGACCTAATAGACATCTACAGAACACTCCACCCAAAAGCAGCATGATACACATTCTTCTCAAGTGCACATGGAACATTTTCAAGGTTAGATCATATACTAGACCACAAAGAGAGCCTCAGTAAATTCAAAAAGATTGAAATTGTACCAACCAACTTCTTAGACCACAAAGGCATAAAAATGGAAATAAATTCTGCAAAGAAAACAAAAACTCCCACAAACACATGGAGGCTTAACAACATGTGCCTAAATAATCAATGGATCAATGACCAAATAAAAACAGAGATCAAGCAATATATTGAGAAAAATGACAACAATAATTCCACCCTGAAAAATCTGTGGGACACAGCGAAGGCCATGCAAAGAGGCAAATATATTGCAATACAGGCCTACCTCTGGAAAGAAGAACAAACCCATATAAACAGTCTAAACTCACAATTAATGAAACAATAAAAAGAACAAGGGAGGCCCAAAGTCAGCAGAAGGAGGGACATAATAAAGATAAGAGCAGAAATAAAAAAAATTGAGAAGAATAAAACAATAGAAAGAATCAATGAAAGCAGGAACTGGTTCTTTGAGAAAATAAACAAAATAGATAAACCCCTAGCCAGACTTATCAAGAAAGAAAGAGAGTCTACACACATAAACAGAATCAGAAAGGGGAAAGGAAAAATCACTATGGACACCACAGAAATACAAAGAATTATTAGAGAATAATATGAAAAATTATATGCTAACAAACTAGATAACCTAGAAGAAATGTACATCCTAGAAAAATACAGCCTCCCAAGGCTGACCCAAGAAGAAACAGAAAGTATGAACAGACCAATTATCAGCAATGACATTGAATTAGTAATCAAAAAACTACCTAAGAACAAAAGACCGGTACCAGATGGTTTAATCACTGAATTTTATCAAACATTTAATGAAGACCTAATACCCATCCTCCTTAAAGTTTTCCGAAAAGTAGAAGAGGAGGGACTCCTTCCAATCTCATTCTATGAAGCCAGCATCACTCTAATACCAAAACCAGGCAAAGACCCCACAAAAAAATAAAATTATAGACCAATATCCTTGATGAACATACATGTAAAAATACTCAACAAAATATCAGCAAATTGAATTAAAAATACATAAAAAAGAACATCCATCATATTCAAGAAGGATTTATTCCAGGGATGCAATAATGGTACAATATTAGAAAATCCATCAATATCATACTCCACAATAACAAAAAGAAGATCAAAAACCACATGATCATCTTCATAGATGCTGAAAAAGCATTTGACGAAATTCTAAACTCCCAACAAAATGGGTATAGAGGGCAAGTACCTTAACATAATCAACGCCATATATGACAAACTCACAGCCAACATCATACTTAAAAGTGAGAAGCTGAAAGCCTTTCCTTTAAGATCAGAAACAATACAAGGATGCCCACTCTTCCCATTGTTATTCAA